AGAAACCTCTAGATGTTTTAAGGACAGCTAGGTGATAGTGACTATTTTGTATATAAAGAAATGCATATCTTACGGCAATTCTGACTGGCTTTGCTAATAATTATGCAAATTTGAGATCGTAGCTAATCTTTCTCACTATAGGGAAAGTAAAAAGCTGTCCTAGTGTAATTATACTGCACTGCAATCAGTCAGGTATCAGTGTTTACTGTAATAGCTGTGTGCTCAGCATGCTGTGTGCTCATCTTGCCCTGGTGTTAGCATCAAGGCACATCCCATGTACACGCACAGGTCCTTCATGGAAACACCATTTTGTTGGGGGAGGGTTTTAGTTTTCAGTTTAGTTGTTAAGGTTTTTGTTAAGACTCTCCTTTTGCTGCTGAGAGGCTATTTTCTGGCATGGTTTTTCTACGGTGACTTTTCCCATCTGTCCCTTTCTACATCCCAATTACTTGACAGATTTTGGTTTTCTTTTGAAGATAGTAAAAACTCAAATCATTAAATGTAGTGCATGTATGTTTTACACAAAGCTGCAGTGTATCTGCAGATAAAATCTGTAGACAGGTTGTTTAAACATTTGGCAAATGATCCTTTAATTAGTATTATTAATTCTCAAAATTGTTAACTTGATGAAACAGCCTCATATGCATAATAAAATCTCACTTTATCAAAATACCAAAAGCAGTATTTCCAGCCCAATAGGCAGGTGTTTTTTTAATGAAGTTACTGCAGCTGCAAGTATTGTACCACAACTGATCTCTCAAAGACTTCAGAGGTCCCAAAGGGAGTGGGATATATTTTTTAACTTTTTAAAATTTAAGTTTCTAACAAACATTCTCCCTCCACGTCATTTTGGAGACAGTGACTCAGACAGATGGTTATTATGGAAAATTACATACCAAAATGGAAGGTAAAAATAGGGTGCATGATGCCAGTCCATGAATCTGTCTCTCTTACTCTTCAATTTCTGGAAAAAATCATTTCCATAAAAGCCAGCCATGGGTGCAGAGTTGGATATTCCCCTTATTTAATGCAAATTGTGCATCACCACATATGCTTTCAGGGTACCTGCAGTTACAAATTAGTTCAGATCTTAAAATCATATTTTCAACCTGTCTTCATTACTGAAAAAAAATGCAATGTTAAAAATAAGTAAAAATTTTCATTCAAGATCTACTTCATAGAAGATTTTAGTACCTATTTACTATTTTTGTGTTAGCAGTAACAGTTGAAAGGCCACTTTAGATTAGACCTAGAAAAGTCATTAAATGCTTCAAAATGTATCATTACTTTAAAATGTATCAGAGAACTCTTCCTCATTTGTGAATCTATGCTATGAATTTTGCAATTAGCAAAGCTTTTTGACAATATACAAGATAGTGTAAACATTAAAATTGACAGTTGACATAATTTTATAGATATTTAAGGATCATACAAGACACAAACATCCCTCCTTCACAATAAGAGAAATATTTATTTTATAATTTGTTCAAAGTGCTTTGAAAATGCTTGTCCAAGGTGACAGATTTGCATTCCTAAGTGATTGAGCTCTTCCATTGTGAAATGTCAGCCCTAAGTTGATTAATTTATACATTGCCGCTAGTTTCCATTTTCATAGTAATTAACAAGTTGAACTTGATGATCTTATTCAGTTTAACAGCCTCAATTTGGGCAACATGGCAACTGCTTTGGTAAAAGAACTGGTATTGAAACAATTAATTCTGAGTTTTTCCTCTTAGTTAAGGGTTCCTATGTCCAACTAACCCATGCCACATCACTACAGGAAGAATTCCTTCTGAGGACAGAATCAAATGAAGTGCCAAGGATATCATTGTCCATACACTCCTAGGGTAAGTACCTCAACCAGGTAATGTAAACATCTCCATGTTTCATGGCCTTTCCACGAGACTTCAGCTTGATATGGTAATAATGAAACCAACAGAATTCAGAATGAAGTTCGGGTGCATTAATAGCAGAACAAGCATGACAGGAAGGAACTTTTTGCAGAATTGCAAAACTGTTAGGTTAGCTTTCTTTTAAAAAGCATGCAGTTAGTTCTTTTCTCAGCTTTTTAAGTTTGCTTCTAGTTTTGTCTCATCATAAGGAATGGGATTCATTCTGCAGCCTGTTCACCTCCTCCCACCTAGGAGTGACTTGAGGGCTGCAGAGAGGAAGTAAAAAAAGATACTTTGCATCATTTAATTATGAGCTCTTTAGCTGCCTGAGTAATGTTGATGGAGTCCAGAAAAATGTGTCTTGTCTGCCTTGGGCAGCATAAAATGGGAACATGCTTCAGCTCAGAGGGGAAAAAGGCACATGGAGAGATTGGAACAGGGAATTCGCACTTGACAAATGGCACAAGCATGAGAAAATTTACTGGCAAAATACTAACCCTCCATCTTCTGAGAAGCTTGACATTTCAGAAAAGAAGGTTTTGCTGTTTTAAAAAATCCACCAAACAGACAAAAAACAAAAAAGAAGAGCCTATCTTCCCTTCCAAGATAATCAGGCTCCAGCTATTTGAATCACTGTTGTTCTTCCCAGAAGTTGTATAAGGGTGCAACAGGGGTGTATGGTTAAATGTCCCTCCACTGAAAGGAGCAAATCACAGTTCTCTCATTCCCCAGTCTCCATCCCTGAAATTCCACTGTTTTTCTGGGTGTTACCCCCCTCTTATAATCATGGCAGTGAAAAAGAGTAAGGCCCATGTATGTAAGCCCTGTCCCAGCCCCTTGGTAGGTCAGAACAACAACTTTTGAAGGCTGCCTGCCTTAAGGGGAAGGACTACACAGTTGATAGGGGCTCATTCTGTTCCCACTGAAGTCTAAGGGAGTAAAGTTTATGAACAGGAAACTTCTCTCAGTTATAGCTGTCTTCAGTTCCCTTGGATATTCTCTAAGTCTGTAGCTCCAGAAGGGGAAATTCTCCTGGCCTGTAGCACACACTCAGACAAGTATGGGGTCTGATCCCATCCAACTTTAAGAGCTTTTAAGAACATGATCCAGTTTTGTGTACTGACTAATTTGCAGATCTAAACTCTCTTTTGCAGGGCTGGGGTTTTATGTGCATGTGTGTTGATGTTTTCTCGACTTCCACCTTAGGAGTAGTCAGTAAAAAGGTATGAACTGTGAGATGGGAGCACAATTCAGATACAAGGAGCAAAATGCATCAGCTGACTTAGAGCTGGGCAACCTCATATCAGTCAGTCAGGAAAATTGCTGGTTACTAGCTAAAAAGTAATACAAGCTTCACAATCATCAGGTGGAGCAAGTGTTTACTTAAAAATGTCTGTTCTCTAGCACTGCCTTGTAAGTGCACAGTTTGTGGTGATTGGGAGTGGGACTGAGCCTCATCCCCAATGGGCACAGCTGTGAGCAGCAGGTGAGCAGCACTGCCAGCAATGAGCCATGGAGTGCCCAGGGGCACTGACCAACACCAAAGGGAGCAGAGGGCACACAGGTGCAATGCATCAACATGAGGGGTATAAAAGGCTGGGCTAAAGAACAAGAAAGAGCCGATATTTGCAGCTCTCTGAAGTGACAGGGTGTTCCTCTGTATGGGAAGAGGACTGGAGCCTTCTGATGAGGTGAGGTGTTACTGTGTATGGGTGAGTGCTTAAAGCCTGCTGAAACTGGATGGGGTGCTCTGTGTATCGTGGCTGTCTCAGCTGTGACACTACCTCAAGCTGCTTACTCTGTTGATAGATATCACACATAGAAGTCCATCTCCTTCAGACAGGCCAAAGAAATGGAGAATGAATTATAGGAGGACTGTTTCTGTTGCACCAAACTATGGGTATTTGGTTTAAAGACTTCTATTCAATTATCTTAACCAGTGAGGCTTTTAGTATTGGCATTCCTATGCTGGCTTTGCAGAAAAGGTACCTCCTTCTTTAACAGAAAGAAAAGACAAAAGCAGCTTTGCTCAAAGAATGTCTCCTTGAATGGCTGAATCATATTTTAGGAATATTAAATCATTCTGCATTTCCATCATAAGTGTTAGGATTTCTAAATTTAAGCAGTTTAGAATTTAGATCACAAACTATCCTCTAAACAGTGATTTGATGAAATGTAGGAACCCTGTGGCAGGCTGTGTTTTCCTTAAAATATGACAGCAGGAGTATTTATTTTAAGTACAAAACTATCTTGTTAAAAAAAAAAAATCATGGCTTTATAGATTTTTTTGGAAGTAAAATTCATGAGGCAGTGCCAATGTCTTTAAAAGCATGTTCAAATCTCAGGTCAACATTATATTTGTATTTTGTTGCTGCAAGCATGACATACATTGCAAATAATTCCATTAAGTAAGAAGTTGTTGACTAAAATCATCTTCATATCAAGCTGAAGGTTCAATACTCCCAAGCAGAGATGTAGGAAAATTTAAAATTCAGATTGTAGTTAAGCTAGGAAAGTATGAGTTTTTAAGGCTTGAGAAGACTAAAGAAATAGTAAGTCTTCTATTTCTACAGCTGAAATGTCAAAACAAACCTATAAAAGAAAGCATCAGGAAAAGACTGCTTGGGTAATATACAGCAATAAGGTGAAGTCTGTTCATAAATAAGTTAACAAAACTGCCTGCAGCCTGTGACATCAGCAGACTGGTGTGGTCTTTAATGCTAACAACTGTACAGAAGCAAGGCTTATGTGGAGTGTGTTTGCCACTGATTTTGTAAGTGGTTCTGCACAGGAAAACCTGGTTTGTAAAGTAAGTGAAAAGGTTTATTGCTGCTTGATCAGAAGGATGTCTCTTCCACATGTCCTTCTCTGAGAAAGCTTGGGGAAAAAAACAAACTTTAAACAGCCCTAAACATGACAAAACTAAAATGTCACAACTGCATTACAGTGTGAAATATATGTCAGGTAAATAGTTTGCAGGTTCTCTTGTTGCATTGCCCGCATATCCACAAAGTTCATAAAACAATTAAATGATGATTTATGCATGGTAACTTCCTTGGCAGTAATTGTTATGGCAAGAAAAACTTATTTACTGATTGCAGACATCCATACAATAATATATGGGGTTTTTATTGCATGAACCAGTCAATCAGTGTGAAGCACAGATGGTGAATGGTGAAAAGAGAAAACATAATACCTTTATTTCTAAAGAAAATGTCTAAGCTATGTTGTTGTCACTGGGAAGTGGGTCTCTGCTGTGAAATGTAGAGCAAAATAATGCAGCTTGACCTAGAAACTGTACAGTTTCTGTGGCTACAGAGGTAAAATCTTGCTGCAAACAGGCAACAAAAGATAAATTACTATGGTACATATGTAACTTAGCTCATGTATTTGTGTTTAGAATCACAGAGAATCCAAGAAATGCCATTATATTAATTCTGAAAATTAAATCAGCAACAAGAGCAAAGACAGACCCTAAATCTGTAGCACTGTTTCAGTACTCAAAAGCTGTACTTCATCCATGGGGACTTCAATGAACTTGTAAAGGCTGAATACCACATCAATATTCCCAGCACCAGCTCAGGAACTTCACAACTCTTCTATTGTTTAATTTATGAATATTGCAGCTCAAGCTTGCTCAAGTTCCACAAGGACTCCATGGCAATCTTTAGGGTGAAGAAAAATCACAGGTTTGCCATGTGCACCTATTTTTGGCTCTTCACTCAATATTCGTATCTTTTTTTTCTTCAGTTCTGTCATAGCCGCTTTTATGTCATCAACCTTTTAAAAAAGATACAGTTCACAGAAATTAACATTTTGCACTGTATTATGCAGATTTTACATTTAGGATCAATAACAATTCCTTATTGAAATGTTATTTCTAATAGAATTCTGAAAACAAGTTATAAACCATTTAAAAACATCTAGTATTAAAAATAAAAATACTACAGGAGTTTGCATTTGTTGTTTGAAGATTTTATGAAATACCATTTAAATGGACCATGCAATATTTAAGAAATTAATAAACTGAAATCACTCATGCACAAAGACCATTGATTTTTTGTTGTTACTTTATAAGGCATCCATAAATAATCTAAATTCTGCATTACTTTCAGCTCTCAGTAAGTAGAGAAAAATACCTCCCTTTATAAGTGATGACAGAGCACTGACTCATTAAATGGTGAAAAAGGGAGGGCAGAAGGTAAAAGTCCCTTTTAGATTTATGTATTCTCCTTCTGAGTAGGTTAAGGTTCATTAAGTTTCCTAAGGAAAAAAGCTTGGAATAATCAAAAATATATCAGATGTGGTCTTTGTACTGAACTTTACTATAATAACAGCCATTAATACCATATTTCAGTACAGTTTCCTACAGAAATATGTAATTAACAAAAATATGCCTGTACTGTATGCTGTGATCTGAAGTTCTGATGTCATGTCATCTAATGAAATTCTAATTCTCCTAAACTTAAATGCATTCATTTTTTGAAATAATAATATTAGCACTCAGTTTAGAAAATTCAATAGTCAATAAGGACCTAGAATTAAAATAATATCACTGCTATTTTTCAAGGCTGAGATGTCTGGACGTAATTTGGTGAATAAACTCTTCTGCCAATGTTATGGTGGGGATGAAGGAAATTCCTAGCTTTAATTCAGAGGAACAGACATCACCTAATTCCTGCCCATTTGCACCAGTTTTGTTCATGAATATCCCAAACTCACTACAGTTCTTCCTACACAGAGTTACCAGTCTGCAAAACAAAAAGAAATGACTGTCAAATTATCTAAACTAGAAAGGCCACATGTGCTATAGCCATGGCCCCCTCCAGGTTCTTCCCCTGAGCAGAAAAGCCACAGCAGCTGCTGCTCCTGTGCTGCAGAGATGGCCTGAGGAGGAGCCGAGCCTGGGCTCAGCTGGAATGAATTCCTGCATCCCCAAGGATGAGTGACAGTGAACAGGGCAAAGCCTTTGGGTGCATCCATGTTAGAGTACCAGGCTCGGATTGCTCTCTTACTCTGCTGTGTCCAGCATGGTTTTCTCTGCAGGTATGAAATTGTAGCTACTTGGGAATAAGTTAATTTCCTCTTAAAATATTTACCTTTTTTTGAAACAAATTGACTACCAAAACATCTGTCTAAATTTTCCTTTGTATAAGAGAGAAGAAATATGACAGCCTTATATGTTGTTATACAGGTCAAACCTATTAAAACATGCATACTTGAATGTATCTATCTTATTACAAGAAATATTACGTTAAAATACCTCAATGCAGATATGATGCATTCCTCCAGTCTTGTTTTTTTGCAGGAAGCTTGCAATGGGACTTTTCTCTCCTAAAGGATGTAGAAGTTCCAGCTTGGTATTTCCCAGCTCCACAAAAACAGTGTAGACACCATGTTCAGGAAGAGCAACAGTCTCACTCACCTGGGCTCCTAACACATCTTTATACAAGGACTGAGCTTTCTCCAAATCAGGCACTGCAATTGCCACGTGATTGAGTCGGCCCAGTTTCCACAAACAGCTTGGAATGTTTTGGGAGAAGGACTTTGATGATGATAGAATTTGTACTGTGGGAGCAGAAGTCTGCAATCTGCTAAGAAGCCCTGGAAAAAAAGTGAACAGCACTGACATGATGCTTTTGAGAAAGTCTCAGTGCCTGCTCTTTCCCCTGTGAAGGCCTGCAGAGCTGCCAAGTCATTGGCACACCCTTGTGCAATGCTCAGGGCAGACTGAGAGCAAGGAAACACTTACTCTGTTTTCAGACTGAGTAAATATTCAGAAGTATTAAGAGAATAATAAATAAAAACCCAAAGCAGACTCAAATTTGGTGTAAATCCTTACATATGCCTGTTGAAAAAAGGAAAACAGGACCAATTGTAAAGGCCAACTGTATAATGTGTTTAAAAGTGACTTTTGATATTTTCAGAGCCTCTTATGAAATAGAGAAAGAAATACGGATATGCCTGTGCATCTCAAAATTATAACAAACAAAAAGATCACAAAAAAGAAAGATATAAAATGAGGGTATTTACAATTAATTACCTTAAAATTAATCTGTCCGTATTAGCATCTAGAGGGGTTGGGGTGGGGAGAAATTGTGGTAGTATCAGTTGTTTCTAGAACCAAAATTAGAATTCGATTAAAGGACATACTCATTAAAACTACATTTTAATTCCATGCCAGTTTGCCTTAGGCCAAGTCAGAGTTCCCAATGCCTTAAGGCCAAGCTAGAGGCATCTTAGCCCTTTGGGAGTCTTTGAGGCATTCTTTGCTTTAAAGTCGCAAATGTGCTCTTTTGCTGAGAGATTGTGCCAATGATGAGCTGAGGTTCTGGATGCTTTGCAGCACACTGAGGATGGACAGCCTGGCTGGGCTCTTGGTGCTCTGTAAGGTCAGTAATTAATTAAATCAGCTTTGTTTCTCAGTATAGAACTGAGAACTACTATGCCACAGGAATTCTACATTCTGCCAGTTAATTTTTTTTCAAAAACTGATGAATCCTTAAATCGAAGTCTTTCTGAGCATGGTGCTGTGATGGAGGAAGAAATGTTCGCATGTATTTGACACTTAAATTTACAACATGCACTGTGCCTATTAGCAAGGACTCTGTCACAGAAGTAGGTCTATTCACAATCTTTTGATGATACTTAATGTAGGATCTTGATTTAGTATTTCCAGACACTTCTCAGTGCTGCAGGTAACTGCCCTGCAGTATTTCTAGCCAGGCTTTCACACAGTCCATCCTGTCATCTCCTTCATCCCAGCCAGAAATTCTGGACAATTCTTTCACTTGGTACCTTTAGGATATCATACTGGTATAGGACAGCAACTGCTTTTCAACTTCTTGCATGTTAAAAAATCCCTTAGAAATTTCCACAGGAAAAAGAAATGTTTGTTTTTCACATGTCTGTGCAGAAACTGTTTTGTAGAAACACTTGCCATGTTAATGCAGGTGCATCAGGGTGAACCAAGTAATTCCATGAGGGAGCAGTACTGTGCAATGCCTAAAATGCATGAGGTACAAACATGCAGGAGCTAGGTGCCATGATTAAAGGCATGGCTATGAACTAGTACAGGGTTTGACAGTTAACCAGAGTAAATAAATGTGTTACAAAAAGTAACAAGCCCCACAATATCTGCCATGCAGTCTTTCCTGCCCCCCTAAGCTTCTACTGAAGTAGCTCCATTTTACTGTAATTTCTTTAGGCATGATTCAATTCTTGCTGAAGCAAGAGAGATTTTTCCACTTGGAGGAAGGCAGTATTCTCTAAATAAGAAAAATCCTTTGAAAGAGAAGAATCCCTTTCTATATAATTTATTATGTTTTCCAGAGCCTTTTACTGTTTTATTCTTTTTTTGAAATATTATCAGACTGCAGTTCAATAGAAATACTACTACTGTAGATTTTTTTTTCCAAGCAGTCTTTACTAATGGAAAGGCAAGGACTTTCCCATTCTTTTCCCAAGAATCTATAATTCTTGCTGCATTTTGCACAGGGCATATGATCGCACAGTTATTGTAATTTAATTTGTATTTTTTTCTGTTTCAAGTAAATTGACAAAGACACAGCCTATTTATACTCGGCTATTTGTGAAGCACTAGCAAAATAGTAGAAAATGCTCTTCCTTATGGGTTCTGCCCCAGAAATATTTGATTTCTTGTGCTATTTCCTGGGAAGACTGAAAAGGTGAAGTCTATTTCTGGGATTCTTGTAAAGTCAAAGATACTTATATACTCACTCATATATATTTATATATATATATATATATTTATATTTATATATATATATTTATTCTATGAAGTCTTGTGAATTTATCCTAGCTCTAGTCAGATGCATACAGAGTATTAATTTTAAATCCATAATTGAATTGACTGAGATTAAACAAAAACCATTTGTGTTTTTCTTGCATTATCTAGATTAGTAACTATATAGATTACTTAAAATTATAATCTTCTAACCCAATAATCAAAAAATGCCTTGCAGTGAAAAAGAAAGCTTTGCAGCAAACTTCAGATTGAAATCCTATCCCTTCCATGCCAGGAAAGAAACACTTGTATTTATATATACATCACAAAACTAGTTCTACAGTATATAGCCTTCTTCAGCTTCATTTGAAGAATTTTTAAAATTGATTTATTTGGGGGTCATTCTATTGATGATTGATCTACTTGTAGTATACACATCAGAGTTTAAATATACAGTTGTACCAAGGGTTACGCTCTTTAACCGAGCAGATTATGAAGTACCAAGTCTGAACTACCCCATAAACTGAGATCCTCACCCTTCAAATGTTTATTCATGGGCTTGTTTGTTGCTTCTGATGCGGAGCAGTGTTCATTGACTTAATCAAGGAAACTAAGGCATCAAACACGAGCCAAATCCAACTGAACTCAGTCTCGTTCTCTATGGGAATTTTTACAACAGTGGGTTGCAGTTAGAACCTTGTCACTGGGCACTGCTTTCCTGTCACTCTTTTCAGGGGGAGATGAACTCCCAAAGCATGGAGAGGCTGCTGTTACCATAGGGAATCTGGCACTCAGGGGCTGTGTGTTCACTCTCTGGACCGAACGGAAAAAGGGAATGTGGTCATTCTTAAATTCCAGCAATTTCAAGGTGGTGTGAGTATCTTGTGAACTCTGGAAGCCAACGGGGCTCACAGTGCTGCTCTGCTCTGCGCTGGACGGGGCTTTTGGGAATCAGATAGGCTCTGCAGCTCAAGGAAACTGAGTCTCAGTGTGCTGTGGCTCTTGCTCCCTCCTTCAAAGTGCAGTCATACAAAGGTGTTTTCATTCCCAGTATCCTACTGATCGATCACTGACAGCATTGAGCCTCTCACATTTCTCCTGCTCTGTGGCTACCAAGTAAAATGGTGTGGTTTAGGTATTGTGACTTTAACCTACCCTACCAGAGTGAGGTTATTATCATGAACGGGAAATTATTTTGAATTTGACGTCCAAACCACACCTCAAAAAAGACAAGCTCCTCCTCGCACCTTAAGTTTGGCGTTTGCTCTGGAAGTTTACCGTAATGAGAGCTTATTGTTAATGTGCCTGTCAGTTGGATCGGGAGAACTTGTTTTTATTTACAGAAGCGGCAGTTTCGTTCGGCCTGCGAGGCTCTCACGGGGAGCTCCACCAGGCCGGAGCAAGCACCGAGGCCCGCGGCCGCTCCGTGCCGGCCCCGCCGCCGCCGCCCGCGCTCCCGCCGCCCTTCCCTCCGCCCTCCTCGCCACCGCCCCGCGTTACCGCCCCGCGTTACCGGCCGCTCCGCGCCGCAGCAGCGCCGCCATCTCACCGCCCTCCCCGGCACCCCTCGCTGCGGGCCCGGCGCCAGCGCGGCGAGCCGGCAGCGGCGTGTGACCGTGAGGGGCCGTGCCCGGCAGCGCAGCGCGCCATTGGAGCGGCAGCGGCGGCCGCGCCTGCCTGCGGGGAGGCGGCCCTGCCCTCCCGGGGGCCGTGCCCTCCCGGGGGCCGTGCCCTCCCGGGGGCCGTGCCCTCCCGGGGGCCGTGCCCTCCCGGGGGCCGTGCCCTCCCGGGGGCCGTGCCCTCCCGGGGGCCGTGCCCTCCCGGGGGCCGTGCCCTCCCGGGGGCCGTGCCCTCCCGGGGGCCGCGCTGGGCGCTGCGCAGATCTGGAGACATCATGTGAAAGAGGCCTGCGGTAGAAAGGGGCATTTGCCGAGGAAGTTTTATGAAGAAATCCCACGGAATCAGGTTGGAAAAGACCTCCGAGATCATCGAGTCCAAACTATGACTGAACACGACCTTGTGAACTAAACCAGGCTTCTAAGTGCCACATCCAGACTTCCCTTAAACACCTCCAGGAACACTAACTCTGCCACCTCCCTAGGCAGCTCATTCAAGTATCTAATCACCCCTTCTGTGAAGAACTTTTTTCTGATGTCCTGTCACCAGCACAAGTGACACCAGGAGGGTGTAACGCCTGGCTACACCTGGTGTAGGGAGTCCTGGAGGGCAGGAAGGTCACCCCAAGCCTCCTTTGCTCCAGGCTGAGACTCCCAGCTCCCTCATCCGACTCGTGCTCCAGTTACTTTTCCAGTTCTGTTGCTGTTCTCTGGACTTGCTCCAGCACCTCAATGTCCTTCCTGAATTGAGGGGCCCAGAACTCAAGGGTGGCCTTAGCAGTGCGGAGTACAGGGGAAGAATCGCTTCCCTGGCCGGCTGGCCACAGTATTCCTGATAGAGGCCAGGATGCCATGAAGCATTGTGCCAGGAGACTGAGGACAGCAAGCAGGCTGTCTGCTGGTGCTGAGCTCTTGATGTGTCAGGCATTGCACACTGTGAGTTGCTGAGATACTGCCTAAGTAGATAAACAACTTGTGCCACTTCAAACCTGATTTTGTGTGATTAGTTACAAGTGCAGATCAAAATGAGTGGTCAAAATGGGTATTTGAAAGTTCCAATATATGGCACATTCAATTTCCAGCCCAGATTGTGTGTTTCTGATGTTCAGAGAATTTCAGGTACAGGTCACAGTCACAGCTTTGCTGGCTGGGCCCTGCTCCACACCATGGTTTTTGGAGCGTGCAAAGTGACAGGGAGGGGACACAGAAGTGGCATTGAAGGGCATTCTTTTATCTGCACTGAAAAGACTTCATTTGTTGGTAGGAAGGAAACATGAAAGCAGCAGAGACAGGAGCAGTACAGAAGTTAAAAGGTTAGTCACAGTTTTGGATCAAGCTGTAGAAGGGCTGTGTGGGTGGCTGAAAACACAAGGGTCTAAGGGTGTAGGGCTTGACTTTATAAAATAAACTTTAAGGAAAGCACATGATGTAAGAGGGGAGTTGAAGAGCATTGGGCAGTGCTGTGTGCATGGTGAAGAGGGGTGTGCGTGCCTCGTTAGCCTGAACTTGTAGATACCAGGTGAGATCGCGTGTTTTGCCCACAGAATCAGCTGGAGATGTGCAGTTCCAAAATAGCCCTTGTATCTAGGTCAGAGATTCAAAACTGTGAAGTAAGACGACTGTAGCTTCACTATATTTAGAGCAGGTTTGCCAGTGCTGATGCACATCCCAGTCTGCAGCAACACCGCGCCCTTCCCGGGGTGGGAAGCAGCAGCAGCCATCAGGCACGACTGCCGTACCCTGCTGGGGGTTCTGGGAGAACGAGGCGCCTTTAACAGAGGGCTGGGCCAGGAGGCGGGAATGGCACGGCTCGGGAGGCGGGGCGGGACCGAGCTCCGCGGACGGAACCACTGTGTGCGGAACCTTAGCGGCGGCCGCGGGAGCCGCCCGGGCCTGAGCGCTGTGGCACGGCAGAGGCGGTGCCGCTCCCCACGTGTGCGCGGCGCGATGGCGGCGGTGCCGGGGATCCCGGCGCTCCCGGGGCTCCAGGGCATCCAGACGTGCCTCAGGGTGGCGGGAGCGGCCGCAGCGCGCCCCGAGTGCTTCCTCAGGTACCGCGGGGCGGCGGGGGAAGGCACTGGTAGCTGCAGAGAAAAGCCTGGAGGAGAGTGGCTAGGTGTAAAAGCTGAGGAGTGAGGCGTGGGGAAGCGCAGTTACCTCTGCCACCTGGGTCTGGCTCTTGGACCACTGAAGTGTTTGTACTGTTTGCTTCCACAAAATGTCTGGAGTGCTTAAATAACATCAATATATTGTAAAATGCAGCTGTAGAAAGCTGGAATTTTCTGTCCAGCTGCTACTTCATACACAAAGTGTGACAAAGCTGAAAGGATTAAGAATTTAGTGGGTTTTTCCTATGACTGTGTAGTAGCAGGACTCCAAGCCGTGTGTGGGAAGTTCAGCCGCAGCAGTAACTATTGAAAGGTGCCGTTCTGTAGCACAGAGAACCACAGCAGGTACAAGAGCAGCAGTGTGACTGTGATTGGCTTCATGGAAAGTGCTAAACTCTTTTATTTTTCTGCTCTCAGTGTGCAGGATGGGCTGGCTGCCGACTTCAGAGCAATGACAAAGACTCTCTACGATTTGAATAAAGGAAGTAACATAGTTCGTGGGGGCCCTCTAAAAGAGCTGGTGATAGAAAATTTTGATGAAGAACAGATTTGGCAGCAGCTAGAGCTCCAGAACAATGCAGTTCTCAATTTCTTCAAGAAATCCATTGCAAGGGATGCCGAGGATGAAGATCTTTGCCTTCTTTCAGACCAGGAAGACGAGGGCTCTGATGCAGGGACCAGCAGTGACAAGGAGTTGGAAGACAACATAATGGAAGCAGACACTGAACAGATGAATGTTTATACAAAAGATAAAGATAAAACTAAAACTAAAGCTAAAGAAAAGCAAAGTAAACTCAGAGAAAGCATAATGCAGAAAGACAGTGATGAGGATTCTGATATTGACTTTGATATTGAAGCACTGGAGCAACAAGCTAAAACAGCCAAGGAAACCACATTGAGAAAGAAGGGAAGAAAATCTGTAGTGGATGATAAGTTTTTCAAGCTAGCTGAGATGGAAGCTTTTTTAGAACATGCAGAGAAGGAAGACAATGAAGAAGAAGAAGAAGAAGATGACATTAATTATTTTGAAGACATTATCTCAGATGATGAGGAAGACTCTGAAGAAGCTAAAGTCAAAGTAAGTTTTTCCTTAAAATCAAAATCTGGCATCTGTTAGGATGACCAATAAGTGTTTAACTCTGCCAAGTTACATTTGTTTATGTGACTAATGATCACTTCTGAAGCTTTATTTTAACAATTAATATCTGGTAAGAAAGTTCCCTGGTGCAGAAGGACACAGCATCCTGCTATTCCAGTCTCTCCTTACATGGGTCTTGGGCTTTTACATAAATACAGGAAGAGATGATAATACCCATGGGAAATCAGGGACCTTGAGAATTGCAGAATAGGTGACCCAGCAAATGAAAAAGATTTGTCACTCAGCGTGTGGCAATTAGAGATCACTGAGGTGGCTGATGCAGAGCAAAGGGCTTTTTCCAGGGACGTGGCCTTGTGACTCTGATACAACTTAAATTGATGAGTATGGATTCAAAAATAGGTATGTTATTATCTAATATTACCAGACATTCTCACTAGCAAGTAAGAAATACACCCAGGGAATTAGTGTGCATTCCAACATGTATTTGGCAACATCTACTGCTCTTTTACTTCTTTATGTGTAAGAGGTAGAGAACTGTAAACACCAGGAAAAGAAATCAGTTTTACTATGACATCCTACCACAGGTTAGTGCATCACTGCCCTGAATTACTGTTGCACAAGAAGTGCTGTTCCTCAGGCACTAAAGACTCTAAAAGACAGGATACCCTTTGATTTCTGTCAGTCTTAACAGCTGTGGTTTGTTGGTTGTTTTTTTTCTTTCCCTCTCACCTTTTTAGCCAATTAAAAGTTCTAGAGATATGACATACAAAGATTTCTTTGATCCAGTTGATGATGATGATGGTGATGATGATTTAGTAGCTAATGATGCTGAAGAGGATCATGAAGAGGAAGCAGACAGTGCCATTGAAGAGCAAAATGAAGAAAGTATGTCTGAGTAAGTAAAATGCAGGTAAAATGTCCTCATAATTGTACACTAAAGTAAAGCAGAAAATACTGAGAATGCCACACTCACTCGGATCATAGTTTGCCATTCTCAGTTAACTGTTGTATGTTCATGGTTTGTGTTGTCACCTTATTTATATTTTTAAAACATTGTTCCTTGATCTTTATTTGAATAAAGCATTTAAGAGTTTAAATGAGTTCTTATTTAAGAGTAAGAGTTATTCTTATTATCCAGAAGTTTCCCTAGTGCCCTCTACCTTTAGGGGGAACCTTGAGAACTGTTGTAAACTGTAAGTTACTTGTAACAGGTAAAAACATCTAAGGGCTTAAATATCTTAATGTGAAAAATTATAAAGGCTTCTCAACTTTTTTTTTTATATTAAATGTTATTGTTACAGGTTTGAGGATATGGATGAAATGGTGGAGCACATGAGAAGTAAAGAAGCTTCTAAAAAAGTAACTTTCAGTTTGCCAGATGACAGTGAAACAGAAGATGTAACTGAAGCACAATTAGAGAAGGACATCAGTCCCAGTGAAATAAAGTCCTCATTTGAGAAGAGACAGGAAAAGGTAATTTTGGTTTGGTTTTCTTTTGGGTTTCTTCATATTTTATTTGGCTAATACTTCGAAACAGTGGCAAATAATTTTTGGTTGTTTCTTCATTTGTTCCGAGTCCAGCAGATACAAAGAGGGTATTTAAAATTTAAGGAAAACATGTGGTTTATCTACATAGATACATCTCTAAGCATATATTCCCTCATGTACCTGAAATAAATACCAATTTCTTGCTGTGAATTTACAAGTGAGCCCTGTTTTAAACTTACTAGGAAATTGTGTTTTTCAGATGAGCAAAAAAATAAAAAGCTTGGAAGAAGCATTGTTAGAGGAGAAGCCTTGGCAGCTGAAAGGAGAAGTGACTGGGCAGAAGCGCCCTGAGAACAGCCTTTTGGAAGAAACAGTGCTCTTTGACCATGCAGTGAGAATGGGTAAGGAGGGCACAGGGCTTTGCTTACAGCATGCTGCACACCAGGCTGGCTGTTCTGCCCTTTGAGCTTGCTGAAAACACCTGGGACTCAAGAGGACACCAGCTTAAACTTCTTGATGTGATTTTGAGGTTGTTTCACACTGCATTTTCACAGTGGAAACTACAGGAAATTGTAAATTTTATCAGCCTTTCATAATAGGACTTACTTTTATATTTACTTCACTTTCAATTGCTACATTTTTGTGAAAGCTTTACTTTCTTTTTCTGCAGTTTGTTCTTTATAGCAGAAGACCTATTTCTTGCTGGAGAAACATTAATCTAAAAATTCTTTGCCATTTCCTTTCAGCACCTGTGATCACAGAAGAAACTACTTTTCAGCTTGAAGATCTCATTAAGCAGAGAATATTGGATGAGGTTAATATTATCTTACCTGTTCCTCCTTACATTGTTCATAGACTTGATTCACAGGGCACATTCCAAGGATGAGCTGGAAGCATTTCCAATGTTAGCTGTAGAATTATCTTGATTTCTGCAACTGGTTGTTTTATTCTTTGTCTTGATGAATGTGTCTTTAGATTTCTAAGGAGCCCTATTTTTATATCCCTGTTATACACCAGGGATTTTAGTGTTTTAGTGCACTTCAAAGCAGATTGTGTGCAGATAAAACTGTAAGAAGTTTATGTGGAATATAAAGCCAGCCTGTAACTGTTGGCTGTTACCATAACTAGTGCTCTGAGCATTCTGACACTGACCAAAATGCAGTTGGTTTGCTTCATTTTGCTTCAAAGCCACTGACAGAAAATTTGTATCTAACACCTTGTTGAGTGTTACTGTTCATTGAATTTAAAAAGATGGGGAAGAGTTTGTAACTTGTTATAGTTGTTGCCTTTATTCATAAAACCAAGGACACAAGTAGAGCTATATCTTTTGTTACTTTTTTTTTAAATGAAAGTGTGAAACTTGATGAGTCCTGGGATGCTACATGCATAAACTAGTTAATGTGCCAGATAAATAACTGAAAAATGTTCTAAGTAAGATGTAGCTGGTAGTTGGCTGTAGTTGCATTTGGTCATTACTTCATGACTTTCTCAGGCATGGGATGATGTAGTACCAAAAGAGAAACCCAAAGAGGAAGCTTTTGAGTACAAGAAGCGGATCAGTTTGGATCATGAAAAGAGTAAACTGAGTCTGGCTGAGATCTACGAGCAAGAATACATGAAACTTCACCAGGTAACACAAATAATGCCTTTCCTTTGGGTTTGAAGTTCACACTCTGTACACTCTTGTGTGTTCATTTATACACTTTCCAAGTGGAAGTCATTTAGTCTTTCTCTGAGTGTTCACCAGAGAAAGGGCTCTGAATTGTAAGTTGTGTTGTTACCAGTCTTGCTAAAGTAAAGTATCCTTATGAATGGTGTTACAGTTACATTGCATTTTTAATGCAGCAAAAGACTGAAGAGGAAGAAAATCCTGAACACAAAGAAATTCAGGAAATGATGGATTCACTCTTCCAGAAGCTGGATGCACTTTGTAATTTCCACTTCACACCCAAACCAGTAAGTGCCTAAGTTTTATAAAGTTGGGGGCTTTCTCCCTTTTTTTTAAACTGGATACTTTAAAATACATTCCAGAAATGGAAAGCAAAGTAAACCTTGGTGTTTACTGAGCTCATTCTTATTTCATATTAAATGCACTGTGATTGCCTCTAAACAAACCCAGCTAGTTGTGATCTTCAGCTGTCTGCCAGCTGCAGAGGTGCTGTGCTCAGTCCTGAATGTCTCTCTTCATTTCTAGCCGGTGCCAGAAGTTAAAATCGTTTCCAACCTTCCAGCTATAAGTATGGAAGAAGTAGCACCAGTTGCTGTTAGTGATGCTGCTCTCTTGGCACCAGAGGAGATCAAGGTAAATATAAAATGGCATAAGGGGATTACAGGAGGATGTACTGTCTGTCAGATCACTGGGAATTCTACCCTTCCCATCCTGCTGGGTGCTTCCTCACCTTGTGGACTTTTTTGGCCTAGAATCTTAGCATTGGGAGGTTTTGAGGGATGAGGTGTTTTTTTCTTTTCTTTTTTGGCTGTGGTTGGGGTTTTGGTTGGTTGCTTGGTTTTTTGGTTTTGTGTTTCTGTTGTTTGTTTTTTTTTTTACTGAGGAAATAGTAAATTTTATTTGGCTCCAGTAGGCCATAATACTTTGCTTTGTTTTTGATCTTCACTGTTATGTGATGGTCATTGTTGTCCCAACATTTATTTAGGTATTGAGAGGGGGAAAGCTAAACACTAGAGCAGAGCAATTAGCATGTCCTGGATCAGTTGTACAAATCTCATTTCCCAGCTTTTGTCATGTTTTGGCCTTTGCCTTATCCTGAGCTGTCACTTGAAATAATGGAAACGCTGAGACAGATTTGAGTTCTGTGAAGCGAGTCTTGTCTTTTGCACTGTTATTGATCTATTTAGGAAAAGAACAAAGCTGGTGATGTAAAAACAGATGCAGAAAAGACTCCCACAGACAAAAAACGAGAACTGAGAAGGAAAAAGCTCCGTAAACGTATGAAGCGAAGGGAAAGGGAGAAACGTCAAAAGCTTCTTGAAAAGATGAAACCAGACCAAGGCACAAAACTTAGCAAGAAAGCTGCTGCAGCAAAATTAAAAAGGCTTACCAAAGAAGGCAAAGCATCTCTGCTCAAGGTAAGACTAAAATCCCAAGGACAGATAATTTTTCTCTAGAGAGGAAACTTTATCCCAAAGAATTACAAGTATAACGTTGTAAAAATGTGAAAAAGCTGTATGATACAATTACTCTATATAAAAGTATGTTCATCAGGCAGAAATGATTTTGTGTGTGAGGTGCTACTTTTCTATTTATTTGAAAGTTCCTAAAGTGATGTTCCTGCAAATATTCTTTATTTCCTGCATTTAAGCCATTCCACTTCATCAAGTGCGACTGCTTGAATGCACATTGAGGTTTCTATGTTCTGTATAAGCTTTGGGTAACTTAAACTGTTTTGTAATACAATATTCCTGTTTAACTTTGTCCTTACTGTGGAGCCTTCCCTATAATCTCATTAGATTTTATAGCATGTTTTGCATGCTATAAAACAGTAAACTCGTACACCACTTATGGTGCCTTTTAAATAAAACTCTAAAAATCTTTGAAATTTTGAAATATTAGAAACTAATAGGAAAAATAACTTCATTACTTCCAGATGTATGCACTTACCTTTTCAGAAGGCAAGTAGAACACAAAATACAGATACCCTGTTGTACTTCATGATGTGCAAGGATCTGTTCTTGATGCTGGCTCTTACCTATCAGGCTAATTGCTACTTAGGAAGAGAATGTAGTCTTTATTTCTTTAAATAGCAGGAGTGGAATAAAAATGTGGTGAACAATATCCTTTGAAAATCAGTTACCAGATCTTTTTTAACTGAAATGCCATTATGATTGAGTAACTAGTAAGTAATATAATGGTACTGTTTGTCCATTTCTTGGTTGTAACAAATGTTTTGTCCAATGACAGGATGAAGGTAAAGACAAGGCCTTGAAATCATCCCAGGCCTTCTTTTCTCAGCTACAAGATCAAGTGAGAATGCAAATCAAAGATGCCAGCAAATTAAAAAAGAAACAGAAGAAGGAGAAAGCAATCTCTGTTCATAAACTAAAGTTGTAATTTACCTTTTTTATACAGGTACATGCATATATACATCTTGTATATATTAAATTTTTTTTCTGAATTTGAGTAGGTTTTACTCTGTGTTGATCTTTAAAATACTTTGTGAACTTCTAAGGTGATGTTCAGACAGCTTTCTGTAGATTTTACTCTTATTTTCTACCATAGAACTCTGATTTATTCCAAAAAGAAAGATTCTTGGTGTGGGCAGATACCTAATAGTGTAAAATACTTGACATGTGCTGTGACTGTACAGTCTCAGCCCAGAGCTTTGTATCTGCTGTGTAATAGCTCTGGATCTATAGCAGGAGGAACTGCATTTATTGAAGAACTTAGGATGTATCCAGGCATTTAAATTACAGAAATTATATTCTGAAATTGTAATTGGCAAAGAGGGAGGACACAAAAGATTTTTAAGCCTGTGGTAACCCAGAGCTAGAAAATTTTTAACTTAGACTGAGTCCAAGAAGGTTTGGGTTGGAAGGGACCTCTGGGGTCACCTGGTCCAACCTCCCTGCTCAAGCAGGGTCATCCCAGAGCCCAGGGCTCAGGCTTGTTGTGGAATAGCTCCAGTGAGAGACTGCACACACTCCAGGCTCTCTGGGCAGCCTGACCCAGTGCTCAGTCACCTGCACAGTATAAAGAAGTTCTTCCTCAGCTCAGCTGGAATTTGTGTGTCTCAGATTTCTGCCCTTTGCCTGTTCCATTGCTGGGCAGCACCGAGCAGGGGCTGGTCCCTCCTCAGCACCTCCCTGCATACACTGACAGGCAGGGATGAGGCCCCTTCTCCTCATGTATATTTTTACCACTCAGAGGAATAATCTCCCATACCAGCACCGTTGTCAGAGTCCATAGGAACACTAAGCCTCGGTGAAAATATTTCACTATTTGCTCTTTGCTGAACAAAAAAAAAAACAAACCAACCCAAAACAACAAACTCACCGCCAACAAAATAAACCTCTGGTTGCTGCTCCTGTGGACCTCAGCTGTTTTCCACGCGTTGTCGCAAAAGGAATTTTTAAATCTGCGGCGGGTGTTAGCAGCAGCCCCGCTGTGGGAGGGAGCGCGGTGCCCGCCATCGGCGCTGCACTGCTCAGGCCTGGCGGCGGGCGGAGCGGCACCGGCCCGGCCCGGCCCTCAGGGCGCGGCCTGGCCCTGGGAGCGGCGGAGCGCGCGCGGCTGCGGTGCCGGTGCGTGGGGAAGGGCGGGAGGCCGCGCGGGCTGGGGGGGGCTCCGGCCGGGGCCCTTTACCCGGGCCACGGGCGGCCGAGGGGGTCCCAGCGCGGGAAGGGTCGGCGAAGGGCGGGCACATCAGGATGGCAGCCCCGGGAACCGCTCGGGAGCCTGGGCCCCGCCATCCAGAGCACCTGGAGAGCGGTGCGGAGCCGCCGGCTGCTCCTGGGCCCCGGCCCGGGCAGAGCTCGGCCCAGGCGCACCCCGGGCTGGGCAGGCACGGCAGCCGTGAGGGTGAGGGCTACAGGATCGCCCGGAGAGTGCTCTGGAAACGGGTGCTTGGCACCAAAATAGTCTGTCAGCAGCAAACAAGACAATGATAAAATGTTCCCAGCGACCGGACGAGGAGCAATGGCCATAAACTAAAACACAAGAGGTTTCACCTCAGCATGAGGACTGGGGGTGGCAGAACGCTGGGAGGGCTGCCCGGGGTGGTCATGGAGTCTCCCTCTCCGGAGACATTCCAAACCCACCTGGATGGCTCCTGTGTCACCTGCTCCAGGTGACCCTGCATGGGCAGGGGGGGTTGGACTGGATGGTCTCCAGGGGTGCCTTTCAACTCCGACTTTAATTTTTTTACTTTAATTTTTTGACTCTATTTTTTTTTCTGCAAAAATTAGAGGACTTGCTTATTTGCTGATGTAAATGCAAACTTGAGATTACTTTTCCATTTATTAAGCCACTTAAAGGCAGCTGCAAGTGCTCAGCTTGCCTGTGGTGTGCTTCTCTGTCTGGTAAGGCAAGCTAAATGACAGTAGCATTGTAAATTAAGGATTGCTTGACTTCTCTGCCTCTCTTCTGTTCATCTTGGTTACATCTGGTACCTTGGAAGACCACTCATTCAATGTATTTTTTATCTCAAGGCATGTCAGAGGATTACAGATGGAAAAGCCAAGGAAAGTCTTTTAAGTATTACAGAATAAAGAAATGTGGCTTGAATGGAGTTGTCTGGACCATGTAATCACTGTGAAGTTTTGTAATGGCAGAAGCTAGGTCTTCAGGAATCAAAAGATCCCAAACAAGTTTGTCACTCAGTAAAAATAAGAAGAAAAAAGAAACAACAAAAAAAGTGGAAGTTACAGGAACACCATCTACACCTTCAGCATCATCCTCTATTACTTCCTTTTTTAACAATGTTCCCCCTGCCAAAGTTAGCTGTCCCATGTGTGGGCAGTTGGTGCCAAGATATGGAATAAATAAGCACATTGATGAAACATGTCAGAGAAACCGTGGTGAGCTTGGTGCCATTGATACCACACTGAATTCTTTTAGGAATAAGAGACCCCCAGCTGCAAATCTGAGCAATAGTTCCAGCTCATATTTTTCAAAAAACCTCTTAAATCTAGAAACAAGTCCTCCCAAAAGTAATTTATTGAAAGCAGGAGGGAGTGCAGCACAACAGACTAGTCCTTATTTTAGCAATAGTAGTTCAGTGTTTAGTGTGAACAGTGAATCCCAGGCTCGAACAGTTAGAACAGTCTTCTTGGGAAGCTTGTCTGCCAAGCTGTCCAGAAGGCGCTGCCTGCAGGGAGGAAAACAGGTCCTGTATGAAGAGATCAACTCTTCACCTCCAGCTGTTCACAGTGCCTGTGGAAGTGTGGCTGCCCCTGATGATGATGATGATGGGGATGAGATTGATGCTGGGCAGAGTTCTCAGAAAGAAAATCAGCCTTCTCAGAGAGAGCACCAGGAACAACATTTTTCAAAGAGGGAACCTGAGTTTCAAAATGAAATAAACAAATGTAATCAAGAAGACCTTGTGGATATGGTTCAAGTACAATTACTGGCTGATAACAGTAAAGACAAAAGGTTCCCATCTGGTACAAGGAGCACCAAAGCAGAAAGCAGCTCTGAAGGTGGGATACTTAGTCCTGATAGATGTGAAACATCTCCAGCCATCCATACTCCAGCAGAGCTGACCAGTAATTTGGAAGCTGAGACTCAGCCTCACACTGAGGCTACTCCTTCAAAGACAGAAGTGAACAGTGGGACAGAAAATTGCTTTAGCAGGGATGATGCAGAGGTACTTCCTGTGGAAGTTCTTGAAGACTTTAAGAATGACATGAACTATTCTCTGTTAGAAACAGTGGAAAAGACAGAATCTCAGGATTCCACTGGGGACATTCTAGACAAAATAGATGAGGTCCTCTCTGTGCCCAGCTCTCCTGGTCACCCATACTACCTCCAGAATTTTCTAGTAGTGCTGCGAGCAGTATTGCAGAATGAAGATGATGTCAGACTGTTTAATGAACAAGATTTGAACATTATAACCAAGTTCTACAAATTATCAGGTATCTTCTTTTTAAAAATACATTTCCAAGTTCCCTCTTGTAGAGAGCATTGTTACATAGTTTTATGTGAGAAGTGCTAAATCAATTGACATTTTAACTTGATGGATTTTTTAAGGGAAGAAGGTGCTTTTTCTCAGGACATGTACCCCTTTTTTGGAAAGAAACTCTGCTAATGTAGTTAAGTGCAGCTCCTGAGAGGATGAGGGGACACAGCCTCATTCAGCCCTCCCAGCAGCCTGAGTTGCATCCTGATGGATCTGAGCTGGCCATGGGCACAAGCAGCCAAAGCAGGGGAGTCTGCAAAGCCCATTGGTGCACTCCAGACCATAAGAATATTACAGCAGGGACATCTTGGAGCTTGGTAATGCCTTGTTTATCTTGTGGTGGTTAAAGGGGAATATATAAAGAAAAAAAGCCACAAAAGTCCTGTTACTGGCTCTCTGAGGCAAGCAGTAGGTGCACATCATTTGCATCCAAAGATCCAGGAATAAACTCACTGTTAGGCCAGTAGTGCATGCTGGCATTGGCTACTTTGACAATCACTACAAGAGATGTTCAGGATACCCTTCCCCATTTCCCCAGTCTGTTCCCTGGACATGAACAACACAGATCAGTAACAGGACCTTGTTCTGATAGATAAGAGAGAATAAGAGAGCTTCTTGTTTCTCTTTCAGTAGTGGGAGTTGGGAATACAGAAAGCATTACTGCAAAGTGGTGCTGATAAATCCACGTCTGCACTGCATGAAACAATCTCTCTTTGCAGGGTAGGAAAGATGCAGCAGTTGAGCTGTGAGAAGTGAGAGGATAGCACTGAGTCAATAGATAACAAATCCTGGACAGCTGGCAGATGGATGTCATTGCCTGCAAGAAATACCAGGCAGGATACTTTAAAAGTTCAGGTAGATGAGTTATCTGTCCCACATGACAAGTGTTTACCCATTTCTGATGTCATAGCACAAAAAAGCCCCCCACACCTGCTTAGGACTACCAAGTTGCTTGAATATAGATATTCTCCAGTATTTAATTATTTTCTGCAGAAATGTCTGCCATTCTTCAGTGAGTTGTATTTGACTCAGTGTAAGTTTATGAAGTTTATTGTGAAATTATTATTGCAACCCTAGTTTGTTCAGTTCCATGGCCTGGAGAAAGAATGTCTGTGTGTTAACCTTTTTCCTTTCTCCAAAATGATAAAAACTGGGGACAGACTTTAAAGGAGTTATAACCCCACAGAGAAAATGACAAGCTTATATGTCTGAATGTAGTTCTCCCAGTGAACTGATCCTGGAAAGATTCTATGAAAGAAAAGGCTGAAAAAGTTTTATAAGGACAGGAGAATTGTTAAATAAACATTTAATGTTTATCTGCCATTTCTTAAGCATGTCTAGATCTTCTAGTGTTTCAGTGTTTTTTTATTAATGATCAGTTTCAGTTAAGCAGCAATAGACAGGAGTAAAAAATTTAGAAGTTAATGGGGGTTGAATTAAGTATTCAAAAGGTTGTTGAATGTAATAATAATAGCTAGACTATTTTCAGCTAAAATTTAATAAGCTATTTTGTTGAATTTCAGCATTGTTAGTATTTAAAAAGTCTTTCTAAACAGTACTTTAAAAGAATACATCCCTGGTAAAAATCAAATGAATAGGAGTTTTTTTTCTCATTGTTTTCTTTCAGTAGATGTATTAGTATAATTTGGCTTATCTTTGGAAAAATAAGAACCTGAAGAATGCTGCACAGAGAAGTATTCTGTGATTATGAAATTATTCTGTCAGACTGCAGCTTCTTTTGTTCTCTAGCATGAAATATTTGGTTACTGAATGACTGTTTAACAAAGCAAAAAGACCAACTTAACCAACACAAAATGCAGGGTTGAAAAATGAAGTTCTCTTTTTCTATAAAACTAAGTATTTCTTGAAGGGTAAGGATGTCAAAAGGCATTTTACTAATGCACATTACCTGCAAAACATGTTGTAATACTTTTCCACCCACAAGACTTAAAAATTCTAATGAACTTATGAATTACTTGGAAAGGTAAGTCTGGTATTTTACCAAGTCTGCTTGTAGAACACAGAAAGATTTAAAATGTATTTTAGAGAGTACCTGCATCAAAGTAATTTTTCAGGTTAATGTGGTGATTGTGCTTTGTACTGTGTTTAGAATTTACTCTTCTTTTTGTCCTTCCCTGCTTTAAATAACATTTGCAGTTGGTGGGCAGAAGTTGTACGTGAGACTTTTTCAACGCAAGCTGAACTGGTTAAAGGTGAACAAAATAGAGTATGGGGAGATAAGTGTGGATTTGTCACCAATAATTGAAGAACTGGCTGAAGCCAGATTCCTACAAACAGGTAAGGCCAGCATTGATAAACCTTTAAAATACTACAAATAAAATGTGAAGTTGTGTCATGGTAGAGATCAATGCAGTGCATGCTTGGCTGTGCCTTGGAAGAGAGTAGAGGAGCAGAATAAAGGCTTCAGGTAGATGAGTGCTCTTGTGAAAATACAAATAGTGCAGATTAGATAATGGAGAAGACCAGCTTTTCTAAACAGTGGGGTTTTTTATAACTCAACAGAATTTTTTAATCTTTGCACTTGTTTTGATGTTGTAAAGGGTGTTCTTTTTCTGGTTCTTCGGTTCCTTCAAAGTCGACCTGTGAAAGGTCCAGAAGAAGGTGCAGAAGAATTTCAGGATGAACCAGATGCATTTTAATGCATTTTTGAAGAACCTGATGTCTGTATAACTTAGGTCAAAGTTACAAGGTGCTTATATAGCTTGAGTTGTAAGATATCAATATAACCTGATATATCTATATAACATGATATCAGTATAACCTAAATAATGACTTTTTATACATCTGTATAATCTGATATCAATATAACCTGAATCATAAATTTTATACCTGTATAACCTGAATCACAGCTTCTTATAGCTTTCTATAATCCAAATCATAACCTTTTAACCTATATAATCATAACTTTTATACCTATATAATCTGATATGAATAACTTCTATACAATGTAATGAAGTGTATGGTTAACTAATCGCTTAATGCTGAATAGACAAAAAAGAAGAAAAAACCTCACCATGTGGATAGCTTTAGAGCTAGATAAATGTAATACTAATGAGAAGTTGGCAAATGTAAAACCAGCTAGCCACAAAATAAAGAATTTAAACAGGTTAGGATGAGACAGACCAAGGAACACAGTAACTGTGCATGTTCCAAAAACAAAGTTGAAAAGTTCAGATGTGAAGAAGACTTTGGAACCCTTTATCAAAGACCCCTGACAAGCCCTGAATTAGAGAGGTGCAAGTGTAAAAAACTGTCTAATACCACTCAGATCATTCCATGTAAATTAGTTTTGGCACCTATGTGATGATGTTATAGTGACAGAGTAACATCAAGCAGTACTTACTGTATAAATACACCACAGCACGTGGCAGAAGTGGGTGAGTTAGGTGGAGAAATCCCCCTCACCTGCAGTGCTGCAATAAACAAATCCCTGCTCTATGGACACCAGTCTATGGGGTTTTATTTCCAGCCTACCTGTGGGGTGTCAAACCTAAATCATTAGATTAGTACTAGGTTGGATGAAGGCACTGTGAGCTATTGCTTGACACAATAATATAACACAATGAATATATGTGGATAATTTGACTTTTAGAATCAGAATTGGAAGACCTGTGTGAAGGGTTGGATTTGCTCTCAGCCCCTGAGCTAAAAACACTGGCAAAAATCTTTCACTTGCCAAACCCAAATGGTCAGAAACAGCAACTTGTGGATGATTTTCTGAAGTTGTCAAAGCAGCGTTCCATCTTCAGCAGGAGTCAGGCTGGTATTGGGACAGTGATTTTAAAAAGGTAAATGTTTACAGCTAAATTTTGCATGTGAATGGAAGTTGTGCTTCAAATGACCAAACTCTAGATGCCTTTTCAAGAGAGGAATGCATTTAGGAAATTTATTAATAAAAGGGTGGCATTACATTTCAATTCCCAGTGAGTCAAAGAGAAGGGTAAATAGTAAACTGCATGCTCTCTCTGCTTCTTTCAAGGAAAATCAAGTTTATGCCTTAATTAGCTAGAAAAAAAAATTATTCTCATACTTCATTCATTATGTTTTAGTTTTTTCAAATCATGGTAAAAAACATGTTATAATATTTTGATTTGTCCTTCCAGGGTGAAGGACCTGGCTGGCAGATGTGTCAGGGTCTGCAGAGATGCTCGGGCCGTCTTTTCCCGAATGCTGCTGCTGTTTGCACTGCCTGAGTCCCTGGAGGAGGAGGAGGCTGGCACTGCTGGTCAGGGCCTGCTCTCCACAGTCCTCAGGGCAAACATGGGGCACATGGTGTTCCCCAGTTACACAGTAAACAGGAAAACACAGGTCTTCCAGGACAGAGAGGATCTCATCAGGTAGGGAGGGCTTTGGCAGCTTGGAAATCTCTTTGTTTCTAAAAGAGCTTTACTGCAGCACTTGTGCAGGCAAATAAGAGTTCAAATGTAGAACTCCAGATGTAAGTATGTAGTAAGTGTTAATTTTGCAATTATTTTAAGTACATTTTTGTACTGAGGTAGGACTTGTAAGTCACAGTGGCTTGCATTTTGGAACAAAAAAGCTTATTTATTTGCTTCATGATCATGTGATGAAAGCTGTTTCTTCATTTGCTGTGCTGATTCTGAGCTAAAAAAAAGTATATTCTCTAGTGTTAAGTAAATTTAAACATACTTTTCCCTGCTACTTTAAACTCTTTTAATCCTACAAGATTAAGAATAAAGATGGCTGCATGGTTCAATGTCTTTGGAGATTGTAAGGGAAAGAATTTATTTCTTTCAACTGTAGATGCTTTGCAAATGTAATAAAGTTGTGGATTTTTTACCACAGGTATGCAACTGCTGTTCATCTGTCAAATGATATAGCCACTGCAATGGTAAATGGGAACTGGGAAGAAGCTCATAATCTCTATTTGTATGCTAAAGAAACCTGGAGTGAACTGAAGAATCACCCCTCTTTGAGGTACTGAACTGGAAACTGTAAAGTATATTATCTTACCTTGAGTACTTTTCCTTTGGAGAGAGGCTTATCAGCTAGGGATGTTATTGAAACCTGATAAAGCAAGAGACTTTAATGCTCTTGAAAGCTTGGAACTTCCTGATTGTTTTTAGCTTTTAAGGTTCAATATGAAAAGACCTTTTTTATAAAATCTTGGGAAGGAGTTGGTAGGCAGGGATATAGCACTAAAACAGTTCTGTTTTATGTGCCAGTGCACAGAACAAGAGCCTTATTTTTCCCTTGTCATAGTTTTTTTTCAAATGGCTTTCAAACAAATGGCAATAAGCAGAAAGTAAAATTGACTGTGAACAAAAGATGTTGCAAATGTTATGGGAAAACATGCTGGGTTATTCATGTCTTTAGATTTCCAAGTGGGTATTGCTCAGGAAATGTCACTGAATATCTGAGACCTGAAATAACATTTATTGGGTTTGAAGTGTTCTTCATCAGTTTTTCTTTTAATTATTTTGTTTTCTGGCTTAATGATACACCACAAGTTAAAGCCTTACACTTGGCATTATATTCAATTCCATGGCAACTGATTTAAAATAATATTCATAGAGGGTCATTTACACTGAAGACAGTGGAAAAAATATTTTTTGATTTTAAAAAGATATTCAAAAGACTTTGTCCTGAAATACAGAGGTGGCTACTGAAAAGATGTTGGTCTTCTTTTATGCCAGGAAATTCCTGTTCTAGTGCTTTTCTTTTGTTCAGCTTTGTTTCTGAAGTGGGACTGCTGACTTATGAGAATGAGTTGGTAACAAAATATGATGTGGTAAGTTGCTGTTCTGTGTCTGTTTTAAAACTGATTAACTGATAATTCTACTGGTGTTGAAACTAAAATATGCTGTGCAAATGCAGCTTGCACCTGCTCCCTAAGCCAAACTATTGCCTTACCTTTGGGTTCTTGACTTTGCAGCTGGGATACTCAGTTCAGATCAATTTGGGTATATAAAGCATTTAGTTTGGTAAATGCTTTAGGTATAAGCATTCTTAGTAAAACTGACATCATTAAATTGGTCTGAACTGCTCATATTTTTCAGCTATCACAGAACTTTACCTGATTACCTGCGGCGTTTCACAGTTGGCTGGGTGTACACAAGAATCCTTTCTCAAGGAGTTGAAATTCTGCAGAGACTTCACAAGTATAAGGTAAAGTGGTGAGGTGAATAGAAATATGTGCTTCATTTTTGTACATCACTTTACATTTCTAAAGTGGCTGGAAAATGGTGGTAATGTTTGCCAGTACTTGCTACAGTTCTAGTAACAAGTTACTTTTAAGGGAGAAGTGCCCTCTTTCTGTGCTGCTTTAGAAAGTTTTAAATTGTTTTGATTTCTGCTTATGCTTTGAAGATTTACCATATGTAATACACCATAAAACTACTGCTGAGATATGCTTGTTTCATTATTTAAAGATACCCGTGTTTCACTAGATTTGTCTATTGCTTTTAAATAAGAAAAATCTTGAAAGAAAGAAAAATCTTGAAAGAACTCTTCTAGAAATACCTGTCCCTTCCTTAGGGAATTAACATCTCCAAAGGCCTCTGACTTACATGTTAAAGTAAATCAGATTATTTTGAAAAAGACTTCACTTCTGCAACTAAGCAACAAGTAATACTTAAGGTATTTTTCATATACAATAAGGATAAAAATGCTGTATTTTTGCAGTTAACATTAACGTTTACATTAAAATATCTCTATTCTAGAGTTTTTAAGATACACATATGGATGTGAAATGGGTATATTGGGTAGTGGAGTAAAACGTAGGTTTGGATTGTTCCGAGAGAAAGTTTTGTACTATTCATTAATTAGAAGGGAAAGTGAGAAGCTAACTTGAACTTGGTTGTGTAACCCAATTAATAAAGGTGCAATCCCATTGCTGCAGGAAGCAGTGCAGCAGCTGCAGAGCCTCCTGGCCCAGGATGTGTATTGTACTGACAGCAGAGGGAGATGGTGGGATCGGCTGGCTCTGAATTTACATCAGCACTTGAAAAACACTAAGAAGGTATCTGGCAAGCTGGAAACACTGCAGGCATTGTCTGAAAACAATTTTTAAAATTATTTCTTACAGAAAGAACAGTGGAGTAGAGTCTCCTAAAAATGCAGATTTTGTTAGGAATCCTAAGGTCAGACAACCAGTTTCAACTAAGAAAATGAATCCATTTTTTTTAATCTTATACTGATCAGTAGAAATTGAGAGGAATTTATTTTTACTGTACTAGTATAAATTTGAATCCAGAAGGCTCCTTGTGCAAAATGTTATTGATTGGAGATCTCTTGTATCCGTCCTGCCCCCTGACGCTCCTACAGTTAGAGCTTCCCCACTCAGTGAGCAAGCTGGCCTTGGCCTGCAGGCTCCTTCTTACACTCACCCGTTTGTGCTTGACTCAGTTTCTGGGGTGCAGAGGGGTGCAGAGGGGTGCAGAGGGGTGCAGAGGGGTGCAGAGTGTCAGTGAGCTGATGTTGTGCCCTTTGTTTGCCAGGCTGTCGGCTGCATCCGGAGGGGGCTGGCAGACGCGGCCGTGCGCACCGGGCACCGCCTGTCCCTGTGCCAGCGCGCCCTGCGCATCCGCGACTCCCCCAGCTGCAGGCAGCTCCAGGGCCTGCTGCAGGACCTGCCCCTCCTCACCGTGCACGATGTCACTCACGTAAGCAGGGGAGCAGCAGCTCCTCCCGGGCTCTTGCACTTCACACAAGGAAAAGTAATCTGGGAGACTTGTTACAAGCTGTGCACCAGCCTCTGACTGACATGGTGCAGGAAAAGGAATACAGATGTGTTTCTGTAACAAAAGCCTCTTGTAATCAAATACTTCTGCATTGGTCACTTCTTAGCTCAAGTTAGTCAGCTGTACACTGATCTAATTTGCATTGCTTTATATTTGTGATGGATGTGATCATCCATAAACTCCACTAATTTATCAGTAATGCCCTCAGAGCCCTTCTGGCTGAAGAGTCTGATCAGATCAGTTCATTGCCTCTGGTGGCTGCAGGCCAAGCATTCTGTGTGATAGGAAAAGTAATAGTAACCTTAGCATGTTGTCAGCATTAGATTAATAGCTAAAAAAGATGCCACTGTTATTTTAGGAACCTTTAGAAGTTATGCACTCTGAATATGTGTTATGCAAATATTCAGTGTGAGGCACTTGCATCATATTAGAATGGATTTTAAAAAATTATCTTTTCCATACCATTATAAAGATAATTCTGTCTGGGCAAAATTAGAGCAGAGCCTCACTTCCTCTCTCAGCCTCCTCACCACATGTCTCCCTGCAGTCCTTCTTTGTCTCTGCCCAGGTCTGTCTCCTCAGTTTTCTGTGGTTTTGCTCCTGGTCCTGCATATAGAAAGGCTATATTCCCATCTGCCCAGAATTTTTTGCTAGACATTTGTTTTCTTAAAAATGTGCCAGTTTATAAAAGCTAAAGAGGATGATTTCACAGGAATGACAGGTTAAATTTTATTCAGGTAATTTTTGAAAACAAATCTAGTTCTGATTTTAACAAAACTGAAAAGGGGTTTTGGGCTAAAGCTTATTGAATGTGATGCTGGAAAGTAACCAAATGTTTTAATTTGTTCAGGTTACAATCAGTGGAAAGATGTGTCCTCAGATGGGAATGGGAAAATCTGTGTTCCTCATGGAGGATATTGGTGATGGAGAAGGAGGCCAGGACTGCAGTGTATCCACAGTCATGTGCTCAGTTGAGGAGCTGGCATTAACTCATTACAGGAGGAATGGCTTTGATCAGGGTAACAGTGCTGTTGGTTTGGGCATATTTTGCAGTAAAATAACTGTGGGAATAAGTAAAGAAACTATTTACTAATCAGTTTAATTAATAGACCAGTTTTAGGCAATTTCATTAGGAACATCTGGATTTTAGGGTGATTCTTTTTCCTTCCCAAACACCTCTAATACATCACTTCCTTACCAAAGTGCTCTAACATGTATTTTCAACCTGACCTGCTTTAATGATTTGTTACCTTGGTTTACCAGAGGTGGTTTTGAAATGTATTAGGAAAAACCCCAGTGTTTTTTCTTCATCTACACAGAAAATCACATAGTTTGCCTTCCCTTACCATTGAACAGCTAAGGGTAAAACAATTTAGGTTAAAATGCTACCATTATCATTTAAAGGAGTGTCACTAAGGAAATGCAAACCTCCACTGAATCTTGGTACTAGATGTCCATGAAAACAGTGTACACCAATAGCACAACACTGCAGGATTTTTGGAAAAGGCTTTAGTGTATTTTTACAATTTAGGATCTGTGAAAAGCCATCAACTATTAGGAATATGTAGGTCTGTTTTACAGGAAAAAAAGCAAAATACAAAAAGGTAGGCAAGTTATTTTTGAAGATAAAATTTGTGCCTTTCTATAAAATATATATTTTAATATAGTTTAATTTTATTGATAATACTGTTGCAGCAAAAGTGGCCACATCAGATAAAGGTAAAGAGGAAGGGAACAATATTTAGAATTGGGGAGAATTGTGCTGAAATCTCCATTCAGTTCCTCACTCCCACCCACTCACCATTGGTCTTCTTGGCTCAGTTTTGAGCACACAGTGGCCATGTGTGATTTAGTGATGATCCAGAATGCCCATTCCAGCTCCATGCACACACCCCAAGACACACATGCTCTCTCTCATATGTGTGAGGTCCTTGATGTGTCGTTTTCACATGAGCATATAAATGTGTAGGAGCACATGTATACATGCATGAACACATATGTATTTGCATATATAAATATGTATACATATAAAAGGCATAATATACAATATTACAGTAAAATAGAACAAGTATATAGAATAATATTTTATACAATATCTAATTAGATACTATAAATATATGTCATTTTTTGAATATTATATATTACTATTATTATCACCCATATAGTATCTTTTTTTAATGTTATTGAAAAACTGTCAGTGTTATCCCAGTAAGCTTTGTGGGGGCCAGGCAGGGATGGAAACTGTGCTGCAGCTGAAGGCCCCTGGCCTGGGAGCAGCAGGTTTGGGGAATGGGGCAGAATGAGCTGCATTTGCAGCTGACACCAGCTGGCCATGAACCTGAACGTGGCATATTTCTGCTTTGGGTCATGATGGTTCAGTACCTCTTTATGTGACATTGCTGTAGAAATTAATGTTTCCATTTTTATTAAACTCTGCCCTTTAGGTATTCATGGGGAAGGCTCAACGTTTATTACACTGTATGGGATTCTAATGTGGGATATCATTTTCATGGATGACATACCTGACGTGTTCAGAAATTCCTATCAGGTAATTTTGAAAGGCTTTCTTTAGTTAGTTTATTTTCCCATTGCTGTAGACTCAGTAACCATGTTAAAATCTTATTTGGGATTAGATTAACATTTTATTCTGAGGGACTTTCCAGATAGATCTTGGTGTTTCCTTCACTTTATTATCTGTTATATTTGGTTTATGGGCTCATTCCTAGGCTGTATTTTGTGGGATTATGTGTGGCAGTGGTTTGTGTAAGGCTGTTTCCTAAGCACTCTGCATTTGCTTTTGAAAGTGGCTCTCGGCCCTGCCTGCTCAGCAGTGCCAAAGCTGAATTAAAGCTGAATTGCTGCAGGGCATGCTGAATTTGTGCACCCTGGGCATGCTGCAGGGACTTTGTGCACCCTGGGCATGCAGCGCTGGCCTGGGGCTCTTCCTGTGGCCGCTGGAGGATCCGCCCCAGCTTCATCACGGCTTTGTTCTCTCACCTCACACTGCTCACTGTGCCTGAGCAGTCTCGATCCCTATTCCAGATCCACCTGGAACATCACTGCTCAGAGTGCTGGGAATGCACAGGATTCTGTGTCTGTTAAAGGAAGCCTCTGTCTAGAGTTCAAAACAACAGAGCAGAGGCTGAGATGGGACCAGTGTTGGTTGCACTGGCACTGGGTGTTAAAACATATGCAATCTTTTCCCCATTTAATAAATATTTATATGGTGGTCATGTTCTAGATAAATCAGCTCAATGTTTGATTGATTTTGTAGTTAAGAAAAATATGAAGTAGGACATTGTCATTCTGGGAACAGCTGCTGTGGTGGCAGTTCCTGAGAGCTGGATTTACCTTTTCATCCAGACATCCCCCCTGGATTTATACACTGACAGCTTCTATGAGAACAGGAGTGCTGTTATTGAGGCCAGACTCCAGCAGCTTCACACAGCTTCCTCAGAGACGCTGGCAGAGCTGGTTGCTGACGTTTGGACCACTCAGGAGGGAAAAGCAGCAGCCCTGGTTAACTGGGGACGTTTTACTTCCCTCCAGCAAGTCCAGGTAAGTGGCTGCTGCTCAGCATGGGCACCCCAATTAGGCTTGACATTCAATTACCCATGCCCTGGTGTGCTCACAGGCTGTACTGAGGCACTGAGCCATGGCAGATGGAGAGTGGTGGGAGGGAGGAATTGGAATTAGGGATTATTGTGTTGAAGTCCCTGCACAGGTAGTGTTACAATTTTCTCATATGGTCACTTTTCCTGTAACAGTAGCTGAGAACACAGCAGGAGAATTGATGTAAGAACCATCTACTTACGTTTCTTGTTACGTTTCCTGAGACTGAACAAAGAGCTGAGTTGGGCCATGCAGTATTCTTGGAACAGTATTCTTGTGAGGGAAATGGTTCTGCAGGAAATGAAAACCAACCCAAACCAACTAGCAAACCCTCTCTTGCAGAGCCTGGTCTCTTGCCTTGGAGGAGCATTCCTGAGCGGTGTTTTCCGGAGGCTTTCCAGGGACCTGCGGCACTGCCGGGGGGGCCTGCCCGACCTGCTCGTGTGGCGCTCCCACAGCCAGCACTTCAAGGTGTGTGAGGAGCACGGAATACCCAGAGCTCAGCTGCCTTCCCTCTGTAAAACCCCAATACCCAGAGCTCAGCTGCCTTCCCTCTGTAAAACCCCAATACCCAGTGCTCAGCTGCCTTCCCAGTGTAAAACCCCAATACCCAGAGCTCAGCTGCCTTCCCTCTGTAAAACCCCAATACCCAGAGCTCAGCTGCCTTCCCTCTGTAAAACCCCAATACCCAGAGCTCAGCTGCCTTCCCTCTGTAAAACCCCAATACCCAGTGCTCAGCTGCCTTCCCAGTGTAAAACCCCAATACCCAGTGCTCAGCTGCCTTTCCAGTGTAAAACCCCAATACCCAGAGCTGAGCTGCCTTCCCTCTGTAAAACCCCAATACCCAGTGCTCAGCTGCCTTCCCTCTGTAAAACCCTGCCCTTGTCAGCCCACACAAATGGTGATTTCCTACCTGCAGCTCAGCCTCCCTGCCCCCATGGAGCACTGGGTGATTATCTGCTCCTCCAGTGGGTGTAGGGAGCAGAATGATCAGCACTGGCTAAGGCTGCTGTAGAAAAGGTCTTTGGTTAATTGTAATCTAAAGCACCTGTTACAATCAGCCACACGTTGTTGTTACCAAGTTCTTTTGGCACCACTTAGACAAAATCTGCACTATTTGAGTCCACAGCAACTGTGTCTGTGTCTGCTACAGAAACTGAGTAAACAGTCATGGATGGTGCCTTGCACAGTAGTGGAATAGCTATAGAAGGCTATTAGACATCTCATCCGTTGGAGCAGCTTGTTATGTGTTTATGATACAGAGCTGAAGAGCAGAAAGTTCTCTAGGGCACCTGAATAAGTTGCTGTCAGTGTCAGCTGGAAAAGGTGAGGGTGCAGACAATTGATTTTGCAGTATGAGAGATCTTTATTCACCAGGGCTTCTGTCTGTGTTTTGGTGGATATTTACTATATAAAACTTCATTCTCCTACAGTTAAATTTTGAAATATGGGCTAATAATTCAGCACCCACTGGACCTTCCATTGTGCTAAGATCTCTATTATTTTTGTTGCAAGTAACAGCTGGTAAAAAATACTTCTTGTGTGGGAGCTACTGATCCTTCAGTTCCTCCAGGGACACACTTGTAACCATGCCCCTTTCCTTGTAGCTGGTGGAGGTGAAGGGCCCCAACGACCGCCTGTCTCCCAAGCAGATGCTGTGGCTGAGTGAGCTGCACCAGCTGGGGGCTGCAGTGGAGGTTTGTCACGTGCAGGACGTTGGAGGCAAGAGCAAACGCCTCAGCTGACAGAGGTTGGATCATGTGGGGAACTCAGGTGTTCTTAAAGGAATGGCTAGCACACTCCAATGGCTGCTGCTTAATAAAAATAGGTTCTTCTAAAATTCTGGTTTCTTGGAACATTACCATAGTCCTTTTTAGCACAAAACATTCTAAAATGTAATTTGAGAAAACTGTCAGTATGATTTACTGCATGCAACTTCATGTTCAGAAGAGGAGAGCCCTTCCCTTCTCTCCTCAATTCCTGACTTATTCTGTGAGGTGATCTGGGGTTTGCCCAGCGAGGAGGAAGAGCTGCCTTCACACTGGTACACCCTGAGACCATCTCTACAATACAGAAACTGGGCCATCAGGTCCTGCTCATTTGTTTGGTGCCCTTGTGGTCTAAATTCATTATGTTGGGCAAGTCTCTTTGCAAGGTGTGAGTTCAGCCCCTTGCCAGGATTGTCAGGTCCAGTGGGGTTCTCTGCCTGTCCCCACTTACCATGATGTATTTGAATTTTGCACTTGTACATAAACAGATACAGGTGGCAGAGAGTAGGGCATAAAGCATTAATGCTGTTCTAATGTGTATGAAAGGATAATTAATTTAACAGCCCCTTGTGTTGTATCTGTAGTACCTGTATAAAGGGAAACATTTCTGGTAGTGGACATGAGTTGGTCAGTGCCAAGATGACCACATTCAGTATAGTCAGTTCTGCCCCACATAAATTGATATGTTTGCTCATTCAGAAGTATGTCAGTCAATTGGAACTAAAAAGATGAATTCCCTTTTAAGACACCAAAATCCCGTGGGTTTCTCCTAATTTTAACACACAGCCAACATCTTTTCTCTGGAGTCTTCATTCTCATACTGAGTAAGTTCCCTGCTATGAGAAATTCTGATCACCATGCAAACTGCAGACACTATAATAGAACATAGCAAGAAATAAGATCATTTGCAAATCATTTTTATTAATCATCTTTCTATAGCACAGTGTCCATGCTATTCTTGGAAAAAACCACACACACATAATTTTTTTTTGTTAGGGGAAGGGAAAGGAAACCACCTGAAGTTCACTGTGGAAAGGTACGAACTTTTCTTGACTCTAATTTACTTCACATTCGCAACTCAGCATCAGGATTTTATCATCTTCCTGCCACTGCTACTCAGTAAATCATTATCAGGCACAAAGGTTTTAGTTTCAGTTGAAATGGTGAACTCTAAACCATCACAGCAACAGCATTAGAAACCTACTGCCTAGAGCAATTTGAGGTACAAATTTCTGTCTCTTGGTTAGAGGCAAATTTAAGATTTCATCCTTTCCTTAAATACATGTTAGAATTTTTTTGGTTTTAATGTATTTCCATCTGAGAATAAGCCAAAAGGTTTGCCCAGCTTGCTACATTTTCATTGAAACACAAGGCAGTTAATTGTTCAGAGTGGTATTGCAGGCAGGTGCCCATGGAGCACACGTGCAGCCTGGGCAGACACACAAACAGTTCTCAGTGCACTCCTGGGGCACAGGGCAGGGCCTGGAGGCTGAGGTGCCACCACAGCCCCAGCCCTGCACCGAGCCCAGCAGCTGCAGCAGCTGCAGAGCTCCCCCTGTGTGGTACAAAGTCATGACTCAGCCAGGAACAGCTGCAGTAATGCACATTTTCTGCAAACACAAAAGGATGAGCTGCTTGGTAGCTTTTCTACTCTGCAACACAAAGATGGCATTCAACAGTATGTTGCTTTAAATGGTGAACAGAAATGAAAATTTGAAAATATGTGTACATATATATACACAGACATATATATACACACTTGCATGTCAGTATTCTGTACACAGAAGTAAGATACATACTCACACCCCAAAATTGCTTTTGAAAGTTATTAAAGATATTCAGAACAGTCCCTACTGACTTGATAAGGCAACTGTGCAGAGTGGAGAATATTCAAAATCAACACTTGGTACCTGTCCTTCAAAAGTGAATCTGAAAGTACTGAGCTGTTGAACTCAGAGGAAGCAGCAGCATCCCCAGGCACAGCAGCTGCTCAGATTCCTCAGCAAGGCTGAAGCAGAACCTTGTCTTCAGGCCTAGGGAAAGGTAGAGCCCTTCCCTTCCTCTCTGCAGGAGGTGCCCCCTCTCAGCCTCTGCTTACCTAACTCCCTTTCTGGAAAGGTAAAAAAATTCTTTTTAAGTTTGTTTGGCAAATAGATATTTCGACAGGTTTTGTTTGTTATAAAGGCATATTATTTTTAACCCTCTCTCATGCTATATATATAAAATACAAAGTCCCTCTGCAGCATCTGTACACATCTTAGAACTGAAATGTAAAAATGTCTGAAATCTCCTTATAAAAGACAATTCTGTTTAAATATAGTACCCATTTTTCCCCCAAAGGGTACTAGCCTAAACATTTTTAATTCCACCAGCTGCTTTTGTGGAGTAATTTATTTACACATTTTTGGTACCTTTAATCCAAAGAAGTTATGCTTTTAAGGAAAAAAAAAAAGACATTATAGTTTTAACTGTCGTTTTAAAAGAAAAACAAAATTGGTACCAAAAGACACTAAGCACACAGGTTGAGGTCTTTATGTCAAGTATCAGGCCAGGGAAAGCAGTTAGCTAATGGGAAAAGAGGAATGGCAAAAGCAAACTAAAACATTTGAATAAGGAACAAGTGAGATGACTACTGCAGCAAGCTTGGAAATAAACACAACTGGTTTGTGGACCATTCAACATGCTCACTCATCTTGCAGCATAATTAGGCAGTTGAGGTGAATACATGTTTTTTCCTCACAAACAGTTGCCCAGAAGCCCTGGCATTGTGTCACAACAGCCTGTGCCTGCCCACGCTGTGCACAGCACACACACCACAGATTCTTTGCATAGGAATGGGTTTGGAAGTTTGGTAAGGTAAAAAAGGAACCCCCTCCCCTGACATTGTTCACCTCTGCATTGGCCCTGCCTTGCTGCTCTCCAGCCCCAGCAGTGCAAGCAAAGCACAGCCTTGGAGGTCACAGACCAGCCTGGGAGCCAAACCCCACTTTGTGATTTAGGCTGTGCTGAAGATCAGTTTGGGTTTACAAACAAAGATCTCCAAATCCTATCCCCTCCCCTTTTTTAAAACTTGAATACACTGCATATTCCTATCCTGCAGCTTTCTTTTTTCCCCACTGAGAAAACTGAGAGCAGCTCTGGGTCCATTGTGTAAGGCCTTTGGTGCCCTAAACTGGTGAGGCAATACCTGGATGGAGGCTCAGTGCCAGTTCAACAGCGTTGGTGTTTATACAGAAATAATTTAATACAAAATACAGCCTCGCTGTTCAGAGAAGGCAGCTGACAGGAGCCTTAACCTATGAGAATGACACACCACTATTTCTCCAACCTCCTGGAATTCTTCACACTCCTGCCTTTCTCCCTGTAAGTCCTTCTGTGGCACAGCATCCAGGGAGAGGCATCATTTAAAAAGGCTTCAGAACAACAAGGAGGCTGCCGCCTTAAGCAGAAGGAAGGAGGCTGTTGGATGTAATTCCCTCAGGCAGTGCTTGTTCATTGCACTGTCCCTATGGATATTCAGTCTGCAAAAAGAAGGCACCACTCACTGCTCTCCTTGCAGCACCTGCATCCCTTGTGAAAGTGGCAATGAGGAGTCAGTGCTCCTTTCTGGAACCAGCAGGGCTCAGGTATGAGTTCTGCTGAAAGCTACTTCATCCTGCAAAAAAATGAGGAGAGGGATGGCAGGGATCAGGATCTGTGCAGGGATAATGCTGAGTAGTTGAGGTGCTCTTATAAAAAGGTGAGGGTCTTGTGGGACTTATGAAGAAGTTTAACCTTAAAGAGGGGACACCTTCTGCTTCTTCTGGATGCTTGTTGTTTCCAGAAATGGAGAGGGGGAAGCAGGGGATGGAACAAGAACTTGCCACACAATCTCTTTTGAAAAGCTGGGGGAGTGTCAGCTGCATTAGAGTAATCCTGCTACTGTTTCCTCCCAATTAAAGGCACTTCTAAAGCTACTGCAATACCATATCTACAGTAAATGTTTTAAGGTTAACAGTGCATTGTCCTGATGTGGATTTCTATAGTCTAAAGTCAAGGTCATGACAAAGAGCACAAATCTGACTAATTGTTAATGAACACATTTTGGGAAGAGAAAGAAAAGGGAACAAGCCCTTCCATGGATACACTGCATTAGCACAATGTAGGGTGATCAGTCATGGAGCATTAGTATGTTTGTATCTATGCAAGTATTACTCCTGAAGAGGCAGTCTGATAAAATAGTATATCCCAGATTTCAGCTGTCAGTTCATCTCCACTGCACTACTTTGGCTTTCCAAGCTGTTTTATCAAAGGGTCACTTCAGTCACTATCTGGGAAAACAAAGGTTATTTCAAGCAGAACCCTCACTAACGACCACACCAAGCCTTTCAATTAGCTAATGAAATGCTCTATCACTTGTAATGAGCCAAACCCCCAGCAACAGGAGGAATTGGGGAGCAGAAGCCCCAGCAGATGAGAACTACTGAGGACAACATTGTGCGATTTGAAGCATGACTTGCCTTGCTTTTAAATATTTGTGCAAATCTTACGTAATGTTTGTATATAAAAATTATTACAGCTTTCAATGCCGCATTTAGCAGTGTTAAGTTAGAAAAGACAAAATGATATGCTGTATTCTCCTGGAGCCTTTAAACCTCCACATCACCTCAGTCTTCATTTGCAAGCGTCTCGGTGGATAGCCAGATTTTGGCACCACTTAAAAATTTGCTTAAAGGTGTTCCCAAAATGCTCCGTTTGCATAGGTTCCCTACAGGAGAAAATGGGAATGAGGAGGAGAGAAAGTCTGGGGTGCCTGAGGTGTCATTTAAACCATTTGCTCTGAAGTACATCCTGCTTTGATCCAGTTCTGAGCAGTGGCCTTGCAAGGAGGAGTTGCTCTTGTACTGCCGCAGGCTGCGGTTTAACATGTCCACCTCGTCTGCCAGCAGAGAAACTCTGTGGAAGGCGGTGATGGAGCCGCCGTGGTTGATCTGGGCCTCGGGAAC